TAAATTGTTTTTGTCACATGTAGCACGTGATAGAGGCTTCCTTATTACCTTTCAATACAATCAAATTTAGTTTACCTGTTCATTTTCTATTTAATTGGTGGCTGCCACAACTGTACTATTTCACAGATATCCCACCGATTGGTTGAATACTAATCGTAAGCCGGCATTCGTTTGAGTTAGCGCACTATCCTTTCGGAATCCTATATCCCAGTAAAATATGTGTGTGGCGTTTTCTCAGACTCTAGTAGGCCTTTTTATTTCTTTTAAGTTCGCCCTATAAAATTTCTAATGCCATTGATGTACACTCATCGTGTTCACTTGTAATAAACCTACTTGAATACATCACCAAGCTTGCTTGTCTTTCGATAAAATCATAAGTACCATCTGTTTATCTCTTCCTCCCTCAGACAAATTGAAAATAGTCTCGCTTCTCCAGTATTCGTGCCACTGCGTAGCCTATGCGAAATGAATCGAAACGACGCAAAGCGAGAAATCCTACTTCTACTCCTAACCGAGATTCAAATCCGTCAACCGCGAATTGGTTATCACCTACTCTACTTTCTTACTGTCAGGTCTGGTATTGTTGGCTTTAATGCTATTTTTCTTCAGACTCTACCTTTGTTCTTTGTAACCTGTTTTTCTACTGCTCTTTTAGTAACAATATCAATGATGAGAAAATGATCGCCTACAAGAATTTCTGTGCAAGTTCAGAGAATTCTAGTCTTTTAGAGTGTCTTCATCGCGATTTGCAGGTATGCTCACTACAGTCTTTAAAATGAGGTTTAGAAAAAGTAGGCATGGCTCTGTCTCCTGGCTATTCCATATGTTTTGCCTTTCTAGCTTCTATTCACGATGGATGGGAATAAGAAGTGAAGTGGGGGGATGCTAAGGGATAGGGTGGCTCTTGGGTGCTAGTAGTTGCAACTGTGCTTTTGCGTGTCATCAGAAAGAGGGGGTTTGGGAGGGGCTATATACGCTTCGATCAGAATCAGAGGGAAGTAGGCGCAAAGGCTCAGGATAAAACGGGGTCTGCGGCCATTCAACTAAAATTATAAAACTTTTACCCTGATTATTTTACCAATAAGTTGATTATTACACTCATCCTTCGTGAACCAGCCACCTAATGAACAGGGCAGTACCTAAAATATCTGCTTTTGTTTCTCGAATTGTAGCTACTTGCTGAAGACAACGGATTTCTTTTCTGCTATCTCCTACCTAACATTTACAATGTTGTAAGCATTCTACTTTATATTAATATCAATTCTGTGATTCTCTTTTATTTAACTTGGCTCGTGTTTTTGTTTCCCCGTTCTTAGTTCACTTCGGAGATCGGCAATAAGGCCCGGTTTATTCGTCTTATTGTGAGCCAGGCGGATTCTTATCAAGTGAATTATCTCATCAGTGAAATTCTTCGTGGACATCTTAATCTCTTCCCTCGATCAGACATTTCCGAAGTGCTCAGTAAGTTCTATTTAACAACTATCTAGGGCTTATTTTAGGGCTATCAACTGGAATACAAACGAGAGTTTTGCTGGCAAGAATTGAAGTATGTTTTTGCAAGGTCATCATTGTAAAGAGTTTATCTGTAGATTCATGTTATCCATAAAAAAGAATGAAAAGTCAAATCATGGTCATTAAATCACTAGGGATTATTAATTATTCAGAGATTCTGTTCTTTTTCCTTTTACATAATTTCATGGAAAGAACCACAGCAATATTAGCTTATCCACACTGTCTGCTCCATATACTAAAAGAGTGTGTCAAAGATATGGACGGTAGGCTTGTAATGCATTTATTTAATTCAAACGGCAGGCGCTTTGATAGTTGTCATTAGCCCTTTAGCTGATTTCGGACTCCACAGAGGGGAAGAACATCATAGTGAGAAATATTGGAGAGGGTGAAAAGAGGAGTGATTCACAGATGTAAAGAGTCAGATGGACACCAATGCAGAGAAAAGGTAAGATGAGTACTGTTGAAGCGGCCGAATTTGACATACAGTGGGGTGATGGTAGTTTGAGTGAGAAGTCAACTGCCGGTTTATAGACTTTTTTGCCGTATGAGTATACGTTGCCCAGGGTGCACCACGTGGAGGTAAGTCTATCGCACACCCCCCGGTCTAGAGAAATTATTTGAATTAACGCGAGACACACGATTAGTCATGCAGGTCGAGCACTGGGAAATACAGTCTACACAAGACATAACCGACGCCTCAATTATCGTACACGCGTTTCATCGCCTTTACCAAGGCACAATGGATTGCTGTAATTTTGCAGATTTGGATCTCGAGGATTATTTTTATTTTTCTTCCAATACGCCCGAGCACTAAATACATCAAAATCGGGTTTCCAAAAATCATTACAAGTGCTCCTTTTCAACCACGAATGGATGATTTATGCCCGCGTTGATTTCTCCAAGTGCAACTTCACAGCTAGGCAAAATTAGAGCTTTCAAACCGATCACAATGTTTGCCATATTTGGGGGGGAGGTAGTGTGAGAGAGCCAGTCACCTATCTCCTGACCTACTTTTCAAGCGCGCGCACCAAAGAAAGGCATACTTAACCTTATTATGCAAAATTGTGGCCAAGTGACTGCAAGCCACAGCACATACAAATTTGCATAACGACTCGTGGTTACTCCTTCTCATAACTTGTGCGCGATCGAGTGAGAAGAAGAGAAGGGGCTGAAGACCACTCGCGTAGACGCACCGGAGAGTATGAATTATAAAAATGTGTAAAGGAATGGAAGAATTTTTGCAGAGATTTGTGTTTTCTCTGCCGAAGGAGAGATATTTGAAGCTTGAATAACGAGAAGTTGCTTGTATAACCCCACTTCGAAGCCAGCGAGATGAGTATGAAATTGGAAGTAAGAAGTTGCTTTATATGCGGGTGGTAGATAAAACAGAGCATTTTGATAAAGGAAGTGTTAGCTACAGGTCACCAACTTGCGATAGAAATGTCTATATATTTTACGATCTTACGGAGGTGACAAATACCTCATTTGAATGTCATGTTCTGTTTTTGTATGTCGTAGTAATCAGCAATTATTCATGACTTTATTACTAACTCTGTTTTCAATAGTTATTAGCGCTCTTAGAACCATCAATAGAAGGTAAATTGATTCGCTTCTTTTCATCTAATAAATATCTTTCAAAGTACTAATTGAGCCAATTGTATTAGTATGAATTAAAATCCTGAATTAAGGTAATTTGAAATTACAAAAGTATATTGAAGTCTTCCAATTAGAAATGAACAAACTGCCTAACAGTGCGGACAATCAAGTTCCCTTAAAATTGTTAAAACGGCTATTCGAATATGCCCAGATTTTTTTAATTACTCTCCATTAGCCGTTAAAACTAATTTTCTACTTTGTTTGTCACTAAATTCAATTTTAAGTCAGTAAGCTAATTCGCTTTACATTTGCTTAATATAAAGCCGTTTTCAGTTGTTCTCTACGGAATAAATTTTCCCTCACAACACAGTCATTTGCCCTCCTGAAGCAGTAGAAAGCAGTAACGCAAAGATTTAGAAAAGTCCCATGAGTAGAACAGAAGATATCACATCTTATGGGCTGAAATTATTCAACTCTTGCAAAATTATTCAACTCAATGAAAACGCGGGAAGGCTATGACTAACACTGTTTTGAGAACGTGTTCAGCTTAAATGATATCCCCCCTCCCACCCACTCCCTCCTCCATTAGGAAATATGTAGATTGTTACACTCTGAGCAACGTGGAATGAAGCGTCCTAACTCACCCCACCAATGGGGTGTTACACTTTACTGAGTCATCGAATG